CATTCCCATTTAAAAAAAATAGTATTTGCCTTTTCTGTTAACTGAGATGCTACACAGTACACATATAGTAGTAGAATGAGAGACGTGCTATACTGGACTACTGAGTTTATATACACTATTGCTCCAAATTCATCAGGTTTTTCTGGTGGGCTGGACTGCAAGTTCAGGTTGCATGGTCTTTGTACCTCTCTAAGGGAAATACTCAGAACCAAAAAAACACATGGTCTGCTTTTTCTCAGGCTTAGATACTATGAAGATATGAATATTGGCAATTACAGAGGCTTACTGAGTGAGGCAGCCAGCTATAGATTACATACACTTCTGGGTAAAGTATACCTGGCAAAATATATCTAAAATCTGGACTGACCCTTTGAAATGCCTAATAACTGTTATTGTGCTCTTGTTCCTATCTGCCTAAGTTGAATTGAAAGCTTAAATAGCTGCATTTGTTTAAATGACAGGTACACATTAAAGATTATAGGCCCCTTTACCATAGGTAATCCACTAGGCAAATCAAAGTTCCAAACAAAAGCAAGATTAAAATTACAGCCATCAGCAGGTTACAAAGTATAGTAAGTGTGCCTATAATGAAATCCAGTGGATTTCAGCACTCCTCTGTTTTTCCATGTCTTGAAATGATAACATGAAATAATTTTGTCCCCATTCACACTGAGAAATGGGACCTTTAGCATTTAGATGCAGGGGTTCCCAGCAAATACCTGGACAAAGACAGTCCGTACCCCCCCAAGCTTAAAATGATTTAATTCCCTGGCCAATAGATTGAGTCAGTCTGATAAAAACTGAACAATGTGTAGAGCCTTGTTCACAAAGTTTTAAAAAGTTTCCTCTTTGTGGTATGTTGCTCTGAACTAATGCTGCCTGCAACACTTGGCTCATGTCTGTGTCATTGCAAGCATTTCGCTCTTCATTGTCCTTTCCACCAAACACACACCTGAAGAGCTGGAGGAACCCGGCAGGAAGTCAAAGAATCAATAGATACACTTTTACATCCAGCACCTGGGGAACAAATTAGTGGCCCTTAACTCCTTTATTAATCTAACTAACCTATGCCTACCTTCCTTCTCCTCTCTAACCTAATATCAGGAAACCAACCCATCTTACAACCTGATTGGAATTTTGCAATCACTCAAACTCTGGTCCCAGTACTGCATTGTGGTATAAACTGGATTATGTGTGCAGGAAGTGCTATCAAATGCCTGCTCATACTAATGCCTTATTCACACTAGCTTTTCTCTCTGAAGAATGATCCATGTTTGGATCAATCTTCAGAGAGCATTTGACTGACAGTGAGGAGGCATTTTATCCCCTCCTCACCACCTGCTTTACCCCCTTGAACCTCACACTAGCGTGCCTTAATAATATGCATTATATGCAATGGTGGGGCAGTTTCTGAGTGGCCTCATTCACTTGAAAGCAACAGGAGTTATATATTTCCTACTGTAGCATGTGTACACCCCCAACCACTGCATCTGCAACAAAAGAGGTAGCAGTTGGCAGAGCAGTAAAAGCACATCTCAGCTGCAGGATTTTACTGCCCTACAACTGCTAGTATGAACAAATCCCTTGGCTACCAACCCAAATCCTAACAATACAGCCAGGCAGGGCTGTACATGTGCTGTGGTCGCAATGCTTTGCTGCACAGCCATGGCATTTTTATCTTGGGTTACATGTGGCACTGTATTGAACGCACACATTGCGTTCAATAAGGCCACGCCGTAAACGTGTGCAATGCGGGATTTCGGTGTTGTAGTGCAGTATTACAGAACATCAGTGCAAAAAAACACCAGTTGTATATGCTCTTTGATGGTAAATATCTCTTTTGCAAATCCCTGGACAAAGTGTCACTCCCCTAGCAAAATAACATTAAGCCTCAGTCTAGGAAACCCTCTATCTTGGAGATTTAGAAAAGTACCTTTCATTTTTCTCAGACCTCCAAGTCAAATTTCCACTTTAAATTCTGGACTCCACAATGATTCAAATCTGCAAACAAGTCCCCCTCACAATGACAGGAGGCACCTGCTTGTCAGAATGGGGGGGGGGGGGGTGTCTGCTGGATGTCTATGAGCCACCTGGTCCCAGGACTAGGGTCCGGAATGTAGTTTCCAGAGAATACAAGCTAGAGTTTCAATCTCCGATGCCACCCAATTGCATGTTGTCAAAGTTCAGTTCATCTGCAATAGCCATTGTTTCAAAAGGTAAAGTTCCAGAGTTTATACTCAAACTTGTTCATAGTATTCAAAATGAAATCAGGTAATTGCCCCACTCTGGATTTAAAACCGCTCAACACCTTCCTTCAGGTGCAAACATTCTGCATAGAAGCTACCAAGTCAGTCGTTTCTCTCCATCTGAGAAACTTTCTTGCCTTTGGGAACATCAAAGATGTCTACTTGTATGTTCCAATCTTTTTGGTGCATCAACACTTCCTGCGTTTTTGTGGTGGGTACCCAGCATCACCAGTTTATTGCCCCTCCTTTTGGTCTATCCACTGTACCTCTGGACTTCATCAGTAATAGCGAATGTACTTACTCTCTGTTCTCGGGCATGCTGCACCTCTCAACTGTGAGGTCATACAACCAAGGTTCAGTTGAACAACGCTACAGCAGCAATTTACATAAACCATCAGGGGGGAACCAGACCTCTCAAAAAAAAAAAAAAGCAGATGAGAATTTGGCTTGGGGGACTTCACCATCTGGATGTAACAGAATAGTCTCTTCACCCCAAGATGTTTCAAGACCTCTGTCACAGGTGAGGGATGCTGAATTTGGGCCTTCCAGATTAAACAAGAAACAGACTGGCCATACACTATACAATTTTCTGTCCAATTTCTGCCCAATTTCCTTTAGATTTACCTTCAACTATGTAGTGCAAGAGCCTGCCTAATTGGATACAATTGAAAGTGTTGTTAGGTTTGACCTCCTATTATATGGTTTTTGGTGGTAAATCTAAAGCAAAATTCTCAAGAAAATTGTATAATGTATGGCCAGCCTCTTGGCAGAAAGTGGACAGAACATTGCAAGACAATTGTATAGTGTATGGCTAGCCTACGTTTATTTCCAGTTTTCACTGATCCTCTAGCTTTCACAGCAGAAGCTCTGGTGACTGCGTGGGATTAGTTCAACCTGATATATGAATTTTCTCCTCTGAAACTCCTTCCTTGTCTGCTCCACATGATAGAGATGGAGGGCATTCCAGTGAATCAGTTTGCACCAAACTGGCAGGCAGATGTGGTAGTTAGATCTCATCAAACTCCAGGCAGATTGGTTTACCACCATGGTTCTTGGTCACCGGCTTCAATTAGCTAGATATTGAAGCCCAGATGCTGAAGGATAGGGGCTTAAATGGTTAGGTTATTCTTAAAAAAGACAGGAAACTGACTTCTTGCAAAGTGTACCATCGTACCTGCAGAGCATATTTCTCAAGCTGTGAGAAAAGGAAATCCCATTCTAGAAAATACATTGTGGTACAAATCCTCTCTTTTTTCCTCTCTGGTCTGGATCAACATTTGACCTTGAGTATTATCAAGAGTCAAATCTCAGCCCCAGCATCTTCTTCATTGATTGCTTGTCTCTAATTCCTTGGTAAAGACCTTTGTACTGGGTGTTGTTCATATTTTCCCCCCTGCACATTCCACAGTGACACCATGTGATGTCATTCTGGTTCTGTCAGTTCTTCAAAAATCATTCGTAGAACATCTTACTTGCAAGGCTGCTTCCTTGTTGTCATCAACTCTGTGAGGTGGGTTTCTGAGTTGGTGGCCTTAACCTGTGCTTGTGCTATAAAAAGAAAAGTTTGTGTTGATGTGTAAGACCTCTTTTCTTCCCAAGGTGGCTTATTGCTTTTACCTTAACCAGGACATGTTCTCCCATCTCATGTCCTGCTCCACAACATCCCAAAGCGATTTCCCTCCACTGCCTGGATGTGGTACATTCTCTTTGAGCCTATTACAGCTTCTTTTTGACTATCTGTCATTCCTGAAGGTTCCCTTAAGGGACAGCCTGTTTCTGATTCCATATCTCCATGTGGATGTGACAGGTCCTTATCCAAACCAATAGACTTAAGGACAGTGCTCCAATAGATCAGTTAGTGTTTTATGGGCTATTCAGCAACATCTGAAAAGCCCATAATCTTCGCTGTTTCCTAGATTTGCAGGCTAACCTGTACTTCTGTTCATACACCGTGTTCCAAATTATTATGCAAATGATATTTTTTTCATTACCTAAATAATTGATGTAAATAACAGTCAGCATAATTCTCATGTTATCAACTATTAAGAGTACAATTCAAATTTTATTGAACAAACCTCCTAATGATAACAGGATTTTTGTTAAACATAAAAAACTTACAATGCACTGTTCCAAATTATTCCGCACAGTAAATTTCAAAACACTTTATAGGTTGTAAAGAACTAAAAATTGTCATTTGTTGTGTTTGCAGCATATTTACTGAAATCAAAAGCTATTTCAATCAAACTTTTAACAACATTTTAACTTTTTAAACATTTTAACAGGTCACGTTACATTTTAACATAGGACCCCTTATTTGATAGCAGCTTCACAAGTCTTGCATCCGTTGAACTTGTGAGTTTTTGGACAGTTTCTGCTTGAATTTGTTTGCAAGATGTCAGAATAGCCTCCCATAGCTGCTGTTTGGATGTAAACTGCCTCCCACCCTCATAGATCTTTTGCTTGAGGATGCTCCAAAGGTTCTCAATAGGATTGAGGTCAGGGGTGGATGGAGACCACACCATGATTTTCTCTCCTTTTATCCCCATAACAGCCATTGATGCAGAGGTATTCTTTGCAGCATGAGATGGTGCATTGTCATGCATGAAGATGATTTTATTACGGAAAGCATAGTTCTTCCTTCTGTACCAGGGAAGAAAGTGGTCAGTCATAAACTCCACATACTTTGCAGAGGTCATCTTTACACCTTCGGGGGCCCCTAGCGGGGCCGACCAGCTCTGTTCCCATGATTCCGGACCAAAACCACTCCACCACTGCCTTGCTGACGTCGCAGCCTTGTTGGAACAGGGTGGCCGTCTACCAACCATCCACTACTCTATCCATCTGGACCATCCAGGGTTGCACGGCACTCATCAGTGAACAGGACTGTTTGAAAATTAGTCTTCATGTATTTTTCTGCCCAATGCAGTCGTTTCTGCTTGTGAGCATTGGTTATTGGTGGCCGAATAGAAGATTTATGCACAGTTGCCTTTATCTGCACAAACCCGTCTGTGCTCTGAATCAGCCACAAATCTCTTAATAGTGCGATGATCACGCTTAAGTTTTCGTGAAATATCTAATGTTTTCATACCTCGTCCAAGGCATTGAACTATTTCACTATTTTTGGCAACAGAGAGGTCCTTTTTCTTCCCCATATTGCTTGAAAATGGTGCTCTGCTTAATAATGTGCAACACCCTCCTTTAGTAGTTTTTCCTAAAATTGGGCTCACCTGCCAATCTAATTATCACAGGTGTCCGAGATTGTTTTCAGTGATCAAAAGAGCCCTGAGACACAATGCCATCCATGAGTTAAACTGAAAAACAAAATATTTAAACTTTGTGACACTTAAATAGAATTTGCATAATAATTTGGAACACGGTGTATATTTGTTAGGTTTTACCAGGTGAACGTGCAGCAAGCCTCATCTGATTCCGTCTTCGGCGGGAAGGTTCTTCATAGAGCTTTGTTAACCTGTTTTCTTGGGGGCCTGTTATTGTTTGTTTGCTGTGTTTCAAACCCCTCAGTGAGACTGCTTTTGGACTTTCGAATATATTCTTTAGATTGTACACTTCTTGAGGTTTAGGGGCTGATTTGAATGTACAATATACATGTAAAGCACTGCATAAATTGACAGCGCTTTATAAAGCGCCTGTAATAAATAAATAAAATATCAGAATTACTTCATCTTGTGTTCCCTAATGAACATTAAGGGACATTGTTTTCTCCCCTCTGTTCTTATTATCCACTTCTACTATTGCTTTCCTAAAAAACTTGAGCATGAGAAGAGTGGGAGGGGTTATACGAGGCTGTTTTATAGATTTGTTTGGCAGTGTACAATCTCCTCATGGCAGCATAACCCAATCTATCAGACCCACTTGATCTGGTGTCACTTAATGTACTCCAAGAAAAAGGATGTTATTGCAAGTCAACATCCTATTTTTCAAAAATTACATTTAAGTGCTACTATGCCACTTTGCTTGCAGACAATACTGGGTTTTCTAATAGGAAAGCCCAGCATTAGCCTCTTATTTGTTACAGACTGCCTCTGTTTAACCAAAAATTGATGCAATTAGCCCACCGAAGTGGTGTTATTCTTCTTCAGCTGTGTGTGTTTGTGTATGTTGTGAAAAGGCTTAAACATCAGGATATTAAATGACATCATGCTAGCCATAGTATAGCAGTAAACTAGCTAAACAGAAGCAAAAGAGTGCATTACCTGGGGTTGCAAAGTGCTACATATTAAATATCAGTATGCAATATTTCAGACTGACTTGACCTACATTGTTCACCTTTTCAAAAAAATTAAAAGATGAACTAATGTATACCCTCACCACCCTCCTCGCTCTTCTCCATTTTCTCTGTCCAGCTCTTCGGGGACAGATCAGAGCAATTCACTGTGCAAGTGCTGATCAGAATTGCTCTGGTCTATCCTAGAAGCGCTGCACAGAGGAGAGAGAGAGAGAAGAGTGGGGGTTTCAAATCCCCAGAGCGCTGGACCAGCTACATGGGCACTGACAGCCCAACATTCCCAGAGTTAAGCATAGCGGGGACTGCGGCTGGTGGGAAGGGTATATGGTGTTAGTCCACCTTTTTCAGAATAAAATGAAAAAGTGAAGTAACACTTTAAATGAAATGTAACACATTTTTTAGTCTTGAACATAATAAAGAAAATGTACACAAGAACACAACATTATCTTCAAACAAAAGGTGTTATCATATCATTACCTATTAGGACAGCAATAGAAATCATTTTTTCATGCCCTTGCAACCAACTAAGCCTCAGGACCTGCTGATTTACCGTTTAGACAAAGCCTAAGTATAGAGCTTTTATTGAATTACATCTTTCAAGCTTGCTAGCTCTCATCAGTGCAAGATGTGGAAATTCCGGCTTCCATGGAATAAGTCCATAACATGAATGGTTGTACTGACAACACAAAGATAGTTTTGGATTAATTAGATAGTTATTGCTGCCGCTTCCCACTAGTGATGTAGTGATAAGCCTGTTTTCTTTTCTATGAATAAATGCTCCAGAGATGAATCATAAGTAATCTGTATTTTTAAAGTGAAATGAATTAAATTAGTAGTGGTTTTATTTTAGCCTCAGCTGTTACAGTCTAAATACTTACCAACATATAATTAAACGTGATGCCATCACATCCATGGTGACAAAAACAGTTTTGCACTCGTCATCTCCAGCAAAGACAATTTGCTGTTTCATTGATTTCAGAGAGAAGTGACAAGATTGGCATGAGTTGATCGCTCTTTACGATGAACACACACACACTTAGTTTGATTCATGCAGTGTCCTCAAACACTTTTATCAGTTTATCAGAGCTTAACCTCTCCAAAACCGAGCTCCTTGTCTTTCCCCCTGCCCACGCCCCCCCCCACCCTTTCCATCACTACCAACAACACCACCATCAATCCTGCCCAGCAAGCCAAAGTCCTTGGCGTCACTTTTGACTCAAACCTTTCCTTCCAACCTTATGTCAAATCACTTACAAACACATGCAGGCTCCACCCCTGCAACATCGCCAAGATACGCTCCTTCCTTACCCCAGACACCACTAAACTACTCATTCACTACCTGATTATCTCACGCCTTGACTACTGCAACTCCCTTTTCACCGGCCTGCGCCAGCGCAAGCTCTCCCCGCTTCAGACCATCCTGAACTCAGCGGCTAGACTCATCCACCTCACCACCCGCTCCACCTCTGCCACCCCCCTCTGCCTATCCCTCCACTGGCTCCCAGTTGCCCAACGCATCAAATTCAAACTGCTAACTCTGACCTACAAAGCCATTCACAACACTGCCCCTACCTACCTCACCAACCTGATTCCCAAGTACCACCCTACCCGTACCCTTCGCTCCTCACAGGACCTCCTTCTGTCTTGCTCCCTGGTCTCCTCCTCCCACGCACGACTGCAAGACTTCTCCAGGTGCTCCCCCATCCTCTGGAACTCACTACCCCAATCCATCAGATTGTCGCCTTCCCTCCTCACCTTCAGGCGCTCCCTGAAAACCCACCTCTTCAGGGAAGCCTACCCCGCCCTTACCTAACAGCCGTCCTCCTTCATTCCTCCTACCATTCCCCCCCCCACAGCCACTTCCTCCTGTACCACTACCCCCTCCCTCCTAGATTTTAAGCTCGAAAGAGTAGGGCCCTCTAACCCCTCGTGTGCTGTTTGTTGTTGTTGTACTGTTTCATGTATTGTCCCCCCCTCTATTGTACAGCGCTGAGCAAACCCTTTGGCGCTATATAAATTTGATGTAATAATAATAATAATAATAATAAATTCGTTCAAATGCCTAAATGGACATCAGATTAAATTAAGATTTAGACTAGCATTACTGTTACAAGAAGTAAAACACATGCTGTGTCCCTTTACCTTCTGATGCCGTGCATTGGTGGCCCATTTCAAATGAATGGGATGGAATTCAAGACACATCACTGCAAATAATACCACACATTAATGTGTGTGCGATAACACACCACAGTGTAACTTCCAGGTGTGAAAGGGCCCTTAAGTGCACCTCAACAGGTAAAGCAACATGTACCCATAATTACCCTGTGCACTGTAACATGTGGACAGTATGATAGACCAGACCAGTGTTTCTCAACCTTTTTTCAGTCAAGGCACCCTTTAAAATTATGCACAGTCTTGTAAAATGGGGTGCCTCAAGACTGTCCATAATTTTAAAAGGGCACCCCTTTCTAAAATGTGAAAAACTATTCTAATGGTTTTTATATAACGCTGCAACATCCACACATGTAGGACACCCAACATTAGAGTTGATTTATTCTTCCAAATGAGCTAATGTGACTCAAGCACTGATGGAGAGGGGCAAAGGAAGGTCAAACTAGGATGCTATGTAGGTAGCTGACATCCTCCTTATCGACTGATGATGTCATTGGTTGTCAGGTCACCGATGGCTAGAAGGTTGTAATGGTGCACAATGAAAACCTTTGGCTTTGTGTAACTAAAATGCAGGCTTGTTCCACCTGCTGGCTTGTATACAAGTTCTGGGCAATTTTTTTACATTTTGCCAGGGCACCCCTGAAGAAACCTCAAGGCTCCCTGGTTGAGAAAAGCTGGACCAGACTATACATTTCATTTCACTCCAGCAGGTGAATAGGTGGTGCAGGAACTAAACAGAGAGCGAATATAAGGCCTCAAGCACAGAAAGTGTTTTTGCAGCCACTTTTTGATGCTTGTAAACACACACCTAAATGCTTGTAAAAGTATTAGATATTTTACAAGCTTCATGAGCTTTTTTTGCAAAAACGCTGCAGCCAGGAGGAAGGTTTCTAGTAGAGTTTTTTTTTTTAATGTCCTATGTGCATGAGGCCTAAGCAGCAAGGTTGCAAGCACTAACATGAACCCATACCTTGCCCAAGAATAGATGAGTATATTGCTATAAGCACCTCCTATGTCACAGGCAAGCTTATGTTTTTACATTGTTACATAGTTAGTCTGGTTGAAAAAGGACATCCAGTCCAACCAATAAAAACCATTTGTGGATTGTGGATTGCACAGTGGCATATCTGGGAAGAGACTGGGGAGCCTTCTGCCCTCACACAGCAAGTTGGGTGTCACGGTGTAAGGTCAGGTTCAGAGACCAGTCTAAGTATTAACCGGTATTCACCAGAGCTCCTAATGGTGGAGATGGATTGGGCTGCGTGTTAATACCAGGTCGCAGATCTCAGGATCACCCCACCAGGGAATGAGCAGGCTGGGAACCAATAGCGGATCAACAGGTTAGGGATCAGACGAAAGCAGAGTCGGTCACAAGCCAAGGGTCGGTCACAAATGGTAGCAGATCAATCGTAGTACGTTAGGATGAGACGAAATCGTGGTCAGGAACAAGCCAAAGATCAGTAGCGGAGGAGTAGACAGCAGCAGGAACAGTAGTGGGATATTGGCTGGAAAGGCACAATAATCTGGCAAGGAGGAAGTCCAAGGACATGGCTTATATAGGAAGTTCATGGGAGGAGCAAGGAGTTCAAGGTTCAAGAGCAAACAAGGCACAAGGCAGGATTGTCCAATAGAAGAGGCAGAGTGTTGTCCAGCATCCTAGGTAGCTCAGTGAGAAGAGTTACTGCCTGACACAGTAGAAGTCCCAGGCCCTGACATTGGGTTTGCACTTTACAC